CCCATCCCCAAACACGATGTTTTCCTTCGGTCTCCAGCAGTACCTGATATGGCGGCGGCGGCTCCTGATCCGGCTCAGTCCCATCCCCATAGCTGGCCCTGTCCGACTGGGACTCGTGCAGCAGGGAGATGTCATCCGAGGTGGGGGACTTCAGGCAATTCCCCATCTTCCCCAGAGGGAAGTGGGGGGTCCCTCCCTTCTCAGAGACACAATGGCAGCTCCAGGCGACAACGGCTGTATCCCTCTGGCCTCTCGTGGGCAGCACCGCCAGCAGGAGCCCGGCGCAGGAAGTTCATGCCAGCTTCCGAGCAGGCATAAGCCGCTTAGCCCCTACCACCGTTGCCCCAAGGACCCGCTGTGCCTCTCGCTCTCCCTCCCCGCGTCTCTCCCAAGACAGCCACATGAGCAGCTCCGGCGGAACAAAGGCAGCGAGACTGAAGGAGAGAGGCTTCCGCCCTTTCGCCCGCCTTCAGGGCCTCCGCCAGAGGCTTCAGAATCGCCCAGGGAACGAAAGAGAAGGGGGGAGGCGGCGTAGCTCCCAGGTACGGACCCACGACCCGTCCCCCTCCTCCTTCAGCCTCAAGAGCTTGTTCTTCTTCCTGGTCACCAGCCTTCTGCGCATCGAGCTTTCGCAAGCAGGCCGCTGCGTAGCTCCTCCTCCTTTGTCTCCTCCCTTTACGTTGATGCTCGTTAGGCTGAACAACAGGCCCGACTTTTCTCACCGCTTGTTTTGCACCAGAATCGCGTTAGAGCCAAAGAAAGAGAGCTGCTTCTCCTTCCTGGGCTAATGGAGTCCACCTCCTCGTGATATATATATATATATGCAAACCAGAAATGGTTGCCTTTAGATTAAAATTTTCTGATTTATGACTTTAAGATGTGTGGGTTAATTCAGAACAATATTTGTCTTAATATGTATTCTAAATCTATATGTATTTAACCAGAAGACTTAATGGCAACAGAACCTAACCGTACAGGTTAAGATCACATAAAGTGGACATACACAGTATAAATATCACATAAAGTGGACATACACAGTTACTTGGTGGCAAGTCCCAGTGAACACAAATGAATAATTTGAGATGATTATTTTATGCTGCCGGCCAGAGGAACTAACAATGAATGTGGCACCTTTACAAATACCTCTTTAAAAAATACGGACAGAACAAAATTGATTCTCTTATTCCAAAGATCTGCACTGGTGAAGGTGATTTCTATGGCTCCCAATGAATCACACTTCACAGCACTAGGGACTATAATTCAGCCTTTATCCACAAACGCACATTTCGATCTGACTCCACATCACTCAGGGCCACAAAAAACAATAGAATACTGAGAAAGCTTTTGAAAACAAATGTATCACATTCAAAACAAACAAGTCCTATTTGTCACAAACCTTTGTGGATGGTATAAAGAAGGGGATTGCACGTCATGAAAGCTTTTGCCAAGAGTGCAATTCTACAGTAGGAAAAAGACAGGTTGGCCCACTGTGATTAGCACCATTGGAAATCAGGTTTCCCTGAGGAAAATTCATTACAGCTGTCCAAATCGGCAGGAGCCCCCAGACTCAAAAGAGCAAAAGCTGCCTTAACAAGGTGCTAACAAGTGCTGATTGGCATTTTAATCTTCTTTAAAAATTGTCTCCTACATGTTCTGGCAAAAGGTCTGCTACAGTGCTGAGGTGGAATCTTAAAAAACAGTTTGGGGACAAGGCTCCTTGGTTGAGGGGAAGTGACAACCCCTCCACATACACTCCTTTGCAAGAGATCAATTGATTACACTAGCAGAAGCTGACAAAAGCAATGTCAGATTTAGCACAATAAATTTAAACCACCCTAGGTCCAGATGGTTGTTAATATTGTTGTGAGTTTTCTTATTAACCCTTTTTTCCAGGCGAAGAGATTCCAAACATTATCAACTTCCAGTTGTGCACACATACATCTTTGACTCATAAAGGAGGCAAAATTTTCACCAGGATTTTATATTTTCAAAAGGTGGAGCTGGTTACAAAGAGAACAGAAAAAAGAGGTTACCTGCCTGTAACCATAGTTCTTCTAGTGGTCCTCTATGAATTCACACAAATGGGTTGTTCTGTGCCTGCACTGAATGTCTTGGAAGATTTTAGAGCTTGTAAGTACGTTAGTGGGACATTCCCCTGTGAAGCACAAGCTCTGCCCACCTAAGATTCCCCTCAGTTCCTAGAATTTGTCTGCCGAGCAGAAGAATAATTTAATATAACTTGTGACAGAGGGGAGGATGGGTGGGATGGGTGAATTCACAGAGGACCACTAGAAGAACTATGGTTACAGGTAGGTAACCTCTTTTTCTTCTTTGTGGCCTCTGTGAATGCACACAAATGGGTGACTGGCAAGCTTCACTGACTGGATGGTGGGACGTCACGGTAAGAAGGATGCCAATACAAATTTGCCAAATCCAGCATAATTGTGTGCTCTCACATCTAGGCAGTAATGCCTGACAAAGGTCAATGGGGTAGACCATGTTGCAGCACGACAGATGTTAGGAATCTCGATTCCACACTGGAAGGCAGTAGATGTTGACAGTGCTCTAGTGGAATGTACATTCAAATGATCAGGAGGTGGTTTGCCTGATAGTTCATACGCTAGAGAAAGAGTTTTGACTATCCATCTGGAAATGGATTGTGATGAGGCTGGGCCTCCCTTGTGAGGTCCATGGAAAAATATGAAAAGTCTTTTAGTTTTCCTGAAAGCCTTAGTTCTGTCAATATAAAATGCAAGACAGCGTCTAACGCAGGGGTCTCAAACTCAATTTACCTGGGGGCCGCTGGAGGCAGAGTCTGAGTGAGGCTGGGCCGCATCAGACTTTCCACCAAGCGGAGCAAGAGCCCAAGGAAGCCACCCAGGAGTTTCCTTAGCCCGGCTGGGGATCGGAGGAAGTGGGGCGCATGAGCCCTCATTGCCGGCCACGACCCCCTCTGGATCCTTCTTCACTACCACCACCACCACCA